AACAATTTTTCGCACTTCCTCGTCCACTCACGAGGATCGTCGCCATTGAAAGACGGAAAATCAAGGCGAGGCAGAGGAGGATTAGGACCGGGAGCTTGCACATGCTCTCGCTCCGCAGCAGCAGGTATCGGAGCTAGACCCCGAGGTGCCTGCGCCATGGCAGGATCAACACCTCGAAATCCGTGATTTGGTAACGGAAGAATACCTCGAGCACCATTCCGGTCAACCAGCGGCAACGCCGCGCCGGCAACGGGGCCCGGTGGTCGCTGATTGATCATCACCTGAAGCATCTCGCGGATTTCCAAAGTAAAGTTGCCGAAACGAGCGTTGAGACGATCTTCCAATTCAGTTAAGCGTGTGGCTGAGCTAGCCTCCATGGAATCCAACCGAGCTGTGAGATTGACGAATTGCTGGGAATGGCCTTCGGAACGAGTAACAATCTCCTGAATCTGAGTAGCCTGTGAGGTGACCAAGCTCCGGACGTTGGCAATCTTATCATCCAATTCGCCCTGAGCCTCCGTTGTGGACGCCATGAGACTGGTGAGACGCTCATCCATGGAACCTCTGGTATTTGTCATGATTAAGCCAAGAGCAGGCTCTGATACCACCTTGTCACGCCCTGGAGAAGAAGAGAACTCTTGGCAAGGGAGAATCGCTAATCAGAAGAGGGATTGCAGAAGAGAACGAAGAAGAACAGAGAAGAAGAGAGAGAAAGAGAGGGAAAAGAGTAAAGTTGTATTTCTGTAAAAAGGTGGTTACAACGGTCTTGGCGGGTTTGTTTTATACATCATTGGCAAATAACCAAATGACCCCCCAATATACTATTCCTATTACATCCCCAAACTTCTGTACATATCCAAAACAATCCATTCGTTACAGATAGAGGTGGATGATGCCGATTTCGGGTGGATTTGTGTAGTGGTAGTTGGACGAGTTGGGGTAAGAGGCACGTGGGATTCATCAATCATCAGGGCGAGGTAGCCGCAATGAGATCCCTCGTGAATTGAGGAAGCGGTGGAGTAAGATAAGCAGGCTGCTGCTGTTTCATGGTGGGGAATGGTACGTAGCATATAAATGGTTGGATGGTGAGGGTGATTGGCGCTGGAAGGTTGTCTCGGAATTGTAGAAAGCACGAAGGGGGGGCATATATATGTATGACGGAAGCAATTAAAAAGGGGCAAAAGAAGGTTTCTAGTTGTTCTCGTATGGAAGTTGGCGATAGAGAGAATTGAGGGAGGTGAGTGGGATTGATTTTGTAGCGTGGTACGTGTTAGAAACCGAACATAAAATTTAGGGTTATTGAATCGTTCTTTTTAAGACATTCGCGGTAAAATTTATAGAAAATTTGGCGGAGTTAGAAAATTTGTCAAGTGGTGTCCTTTTCATATCATATAAAAGTTAACTTTAAACAAAATAATATGTTAACAATATAATACTAGAAATTCATACAATTACATAATAATAACAATTTTATGTGCACCGCTCACAACGAACCGCGATAAGATTTCATATTTTAAAAGCATTCTAGAATACATTATTTGTTCAAACTAGCACAAAAATTTTGTTCAATATATGCCACGAACGCATAGTTCAACCACTTATCGTTCATCCAGATTCAAAGATGGTGTTTTAAATATTTCATGGATGAAAATAATTGCTCCACACTTGCCGTGGCAACTGGAAGAATGAGTGTTAACTTAAGAAAAAATTAAACAAATATAACATTTGTGCTTCTTTGCTTACATAATCTTTTAAACTCATTACTTCCTTGTAACTCTTTAAACCAGCTGTCATCAAATATTAGAGATCGGAATTCAACTTATGACAAAAATATTTATTTTAAGGACAAATCATTTGATCGACAAATGAATAATGATGTTCAGGTAGTTGGGCGGAGAAGAAAAGGAAAAAGTTATCAGCAATTAGTGTGCTCTCTTGTAGTTGAGTTGCTAAATGGATAATACAGTTTCTCTGCTTCATTATATAGCTTCAGTGATGAGAATGAATTGTCATATGAGAATGTGTTGGCATGACCATAATCAAACAACATCAAGGACAATGAGAGGGGTGAGAATAATTCATTCCAATTTCCAAGAACTCCCTCCATGCCTCATATCCGCTGATTTTTTCCCCCAATCCAAGGGCACCCCCTCCCTTGTGAATAGCTCCGCCACTCAAGTTGGCGATAGAGAGAATTGAGCAAGGTGAGTGGGATTGATTTTGTAGCGTGGTACGTGTTACAAATCAAACATTAAATTTAGGGTTATCGAATCTGGCTGAGTCGCGGACTAGGTGGCTCTTTTTAAGACGTTCGCAGCACTGCCTCGTAATGCTTATAGCAGACTATCAGTCGGTCACCTCCAGGATAAAACAATCACTCATTAAATTTTCTCGGCGGTTTTGTGCAAAAATCGGAGCTCTCTGAATCTCACTTTCTCTCGTGTTTCTGCTCTTTGAGGTGACTTTAGAGGGTCTAGGGGTCTACTATTTATAAGAGCAGAAAACCTAGAAAATTCCCTCTTTCTTTGAGAATAAGCCACATTTTAATTAGGAAGATAATTACTCTCATAATTAAAATGCATTATATTAAGATAACTAATCATAATTATCTCCATAATATTCCTTTTATTAATTATCCATCTTATATTCGTATCTAGAAATATTACTGGATAATTAACTAAATATAGCTTTCAAAACTATTCATTCCCAACAATCCCCACTTGAATAGTTTTGAAACTATCTCCCAGCATCAACAGATCCATAAGATCGTGCATAAGCTAAGGTATCACGAAGATTTGAACCTTAGCGTAGTGGTTACACTTCCGATTTCATAAGGGTGACTCGTAGTCTTGAACCCTATCTCAGACAATGTAGCACACCGGATCTTTTCATTGAGTGATATTCTCTCATAGGCCGTGCATTTATGGTCATGCACGTCATCCCAGTTTAGTGAACGCTCTAGCAACTTTGTGCCTCCAAAGTTCCATAGAGAGCGGCCCCACTCGTACATTCACATAGGTGAGTCTATCAGAAGTAGGGGTGGTATTCGGTCGGTAACCGGTTAATTTACCGGTTTCGGTATACCGACAATGATAATTCGGAATCGATTACCGATACCGTTTTGTAACCGGTTTAACGGTTATCGAATTACCGGTAAACTGTTACAAACCGGTTTACCGAAATACCGTAAGGAACGACGACGGGCGGTTTCTCGGTTCGGCTGCTGGTTGTTGTTGGCTGGCCTGCGCTCTAGCGACTGGGCGGCGGCGAGAGTGACTTGGCGGCGGCGAGAGCGCCTGGGTAGCGCCGATGAGAGAGATCTAGATGGTGGCTCGACTGACATCGATTCAATGGCTCCATAGTCATCTTGGTCAGAAATTGCGACGACGGCGTTGGAGAAACAGAATGGAGAAGAACCTCTGTCATCCCCTTTCCGACGAGTTCATCTTTGTCCAGATCTGGTGAAGAATCGGCGGCAGTGATCCCTCCGAACATGATGAATCGATGGCGGCAATTCGAATCTCGACGGGGATCCATTCAAATGTTGGGAAAGGTTGAGGAACAAATTCACAATGCTGGGAAAGGTTGAGTTTATGGGTTTTGATAAAAAAAATTCTTCAGAGAGAAGAGAACAGGGTGGCTACGCAGCCAGATAGAGAGGCAGAGGCGGCGGCGGCGGGAGAAAGCAGAAGCAGCGACAACCAATGCAGTCAAAAGCTAGCTTTTAGGTAGAAGCGAAATGATGGGTAAAAGCGGAAGCGTAAAAGCGAAAGCTTTTATATATACTGTAAATTATATTAAAAATGTCTAACTATAGCATGTATTCTGCATAATATAAACAAATAAGCGAGTTAGATCATATTCAAAAGATATTCACACACACAAACTAAATGATAGGCTCTTAAATATAATAAATCTAAGTCACAAGTCCCAACAGTAAGTTCTTAATAATAAAAGACAAGTTACACACTAATAGAATTCATGACTCACAAGCGAGCTTAAAATCCATACTGCGAAAATCATATTAAGAAAAGTTCCAAACCATCAAAATGAAACTACATCAGTTCATCGACATCAACAGTTGCATCCAAGTCATCATCATCATCTTCTTCATCACCATCATCGTCATCACCATCATGACCATCATTTCTTGCACCATCACCAAAACTAGTACTATCCTCACCATAATTACTTCCATCATCAAATCGAACCACATAATCAGTTTCCGCATTTGTAACTTCCAAATCTCCAACTTGTGGCTCTTCTTCTTCATTGTCATCCCCACAAATCCATTCATTGTCAGAGTCTATGTCCTCAAATGCCACTTCAAGTTTTCTTGCTTGCTTGATATTCCCCAATAACTTGTTGCACATGACATATACAAGATCATTCAACTTTTGGGTTTGAAAATTGTTCCTTTTCTTAGTGTGAATCTTCAAAAACAAAAATATAGCACATGCAAAACCATTAGCAATGACAAACTATATAAAGTATCAAACATGATATAATTATAGAAACTAGAAATGATCTTACTTACCCTCTCAAATGCACTCCAATTACGCTCACAGCCAGAAGCACTGCAAGTCAAACTCAGCACTCGAATGGCAAATTTCTGCAGTTCTGGTACTTCATCTCCAAATGAATTCCACCAATTAGCAGGATGTTTCCTATCCTTCAAAGACATTGCACCAAACTTATTGAACATGCCTCTAGAATAATGAAATGCATCCATCTGTTCCATTATCTTAAACTTCTCTTCTTCATCCCTAGCCAATCTTCCCACACATTCATACAATGCTAGTTTCACCCTTTTATCATTATGATTGAAGCCTTTAGCATAATGAACTTGAGGATTCAACCAAAATGCAGCAAAGTGTAATGGTCTGCTCATTTGATCTTCCCATCCCTTCTCAATGATCTTTAATACTGGCTTGTATCTATAATAAAAAAGCAACATTGTCATTGCTCATGTAAAGAATAAAACATAGTCATCTTAAAAGTTACCTGCTTTCCACATTGTTGAAGTTTTTCTTGATCTTCTCCTTTGCTTCAGTCAACTCAAAGTACAAGAACGGCATTGCTGGTTTTTCATCAGAGTCAACCAAGCGTAAAACCTTCACAAGAGGAAGTGCGGCTCTAAGACAGGTTGTCACATCACGCCAGAATCTACCATCAAGCACAATCCCATGAACTCTTTTTCCTTCTTGAATACTAGCAAAGCTACTCTTTCTCCACTTCTCTGAAGAGAACATTGTCATCAATTGACCCTTGTTCTCACTAAGAGATCCCAAAGTCAGATAAGAAGTAGCAAATCTTGTAACAGCTGCCCTCACCAATTCTTTATTCGCAGTGAACTCCTTCATCATGGCAATAAGCATCGGCCTCACATATATAAAATTTGTAATCTTCTTACCTTTGGTGATTGTAGACTTGTGAACCTTAATATGCTTCTCAAAATCCTCTAACATCAAGTCTATGCAATGAGCTGCATATGGTGTCCAGAATAGATGCTTTCTCTTCTCCATTAATAATTTCCCTGCTGCTTTGTAAGCTGAAGCATTATCGGTCACAACCTGAACAACATTTTCTTCCCCAACCTTCTCAACAATATCATCTAGCATTTCAAACACCTTTGAAGCAGTCTTTGGAAAATCTGAAGTGTCGACAGACTCGATAAATACAATACCTCTAGGACTGTTAGCCAAAAAGTTGCAAAGGCAACGCCTTTTCCTATCGGTCCATCCATCAGACATGATTGTGCAACCCATTGTCTTCCATTCATCTTTGAATATCTCAAGTTTTTCCTCCACTACTTTTATTTCCTCTTTCATAAATGTCTCCCTTAGCTCATGGTAGGATGGAGGCTTAAAACCAGGACCATGTCGAGCTACATCTTTCCACATCTGAGGATATGTATAACTCCTCGATGAATTGAACGGAAGTACATTTTCATAGAACCATTTTGATATTATCTTGCATGCTTTTTTCCTGAGTTCTTTCTTCAAAAGAGCACTCATTGTTGTTTGCTTCTCAGTGTCACTGCCACTAGCTAAATGCTTCCTTATATCAGATGCACTAGCTGAATCATTGTTGGATGCCCCTTCTCTTATAACACATTCATCCTCATGTTGTCCATAATCATGTAAATCTTTCCTTTTTTCGCTTTTGCTTCTTCTTTGGCATCCCACAATTCCCGAAATTGATTCCTAACTGCATCAGGCACACTAAGACAAGCCTCAACATTAACCTTATTTCCTGCAAGATGATTCTTCAACCGATAGATGCCCCCTTTGTATTCATTTTGACAGTAATTGCATTTCACCCTTACACCATTACCATCAAGATCAATTCCATGATCCCACCCCGGATCACCACGAGTCCCAGCTGCATTTTTATGCTTAGCCTTAGCTTTAGAACCAGGTACAGATGCTGTAGAGGACGCCATATAAGAAAATCCAAATCTGAAATTTCACACCATCACACAAAATTAATCACTCAAGTCAAACAGTAATCATTATATATGATTTTTCGTGGCTAAGACTTAAATCATGGCAAGCAAATTAATCACTCAAATGAACCATTTAAAGGAGTAACAAAATGGATAGAGGCAGTTGGACAGGGATGAGTGGAGTAAAAAAAACCAGAAGCAATATATATAAATCTAAGTAACTCAAAGTAACAAAAATGGACCGCGGGCATAACAAAGAAACAACAAAAATCTATTCTCATTTAAGCAAAGTAACGAGATCTTTGACTTTATAGTAGCAGGAGCAAAAACCCTCCCAGGAAGATACGAATTGACTAACCAATTTGGGGAGAAGACCAAACTTGTTGCTGTAATTGGTCGGTGGCAAGTGGGATGTTGGAGTCTCTTCGCCTGGAGGAGAAGAAGCGGATGCGATGGTCGGCAGAAGCAGGGGCGTTGTATTTTTTGGTGCCACCGAAGGAGATTATTTTTGCAGCCCTAGAGAGTCAGGGTAATGGAGGAGAAGCTTGGAAATTTAGGGTTTTAAGTTTTGAGAAGGACAGCCGAGTTCACAAACTTTGATGGGCATGAAGCGGCGTCGTTTTATCTTTTTGGCCATCAAACCCCAGCCGAAATCCGACCAAAACCCAACCCGGTCTTAGTTATGTAACCTAATACCAAAAGCTTTCAAAAGCGGTTGAAAAGCTAGCTTTTACCGCTTTCACTACGCTTCTGCGCTTTTACAACGCTTTTACATCGCTTTTGATGCATAACGCTTTTTACATAGAAGCTACAATATTTGTGAGGTTAAAAGCGTAAAAGCATACGCTTTTACGCTTTAAAGCTAGCTTTTTTAACTGCATTGGCGGCAACTCATCGTCCATCACTGGCCGCCAGAGTCCCTTCCATCGCTAGCTCTGAAAGTTTCGTTCGAAGGAGGAGTCTCAAGCTTCTCCATTCTTGGATTCTTGCCCAGATTTTTTAGTTCTCATTGGAGCAAGATGAGTTCCCTCCAGATGGCCAAAAGCCTCTCCTTCTCCAAATCTCCTCGTCGCGACTTCGCGACTCCGCATCTCCGACCAAGCCGCATCACCGGCGTCGCAGAACTCCCTCCGCCTGACCGCCACTCCGCCTCGCCTCCCAAACCCCAGTCCTCCTCGCCATTACTCTTCTTCCATTCCTCTGCCACCGCTAGGACCGCCACCGCCACGAGCCCAGGATAGTGACAGAAGCCTTCCTCCATGGCTCCGCCAGTCCTCCTCCGCCGGGCTGCCTCCTGCCCACATCCTCGGCTCCTACAGGCTATCTCTCCGTGGCTCCGCCTCTCCCAGTCTCCCTCCCAGCCTTGCTCGGTTGCTCCTGCCTCCTTGCCCCTTGGAGTCTAGGGGATTGGGCGAATGCCGCGTTCTGGTTTCGGTAATACCGACTTACCGTCGGTATTTACCGAGACTGGGGGCGGTAAATTGGATGTCCCAAGCCACCCTCGAATACAGTTACCGTCGGTAATCGGTTTACCGTTTACCGCCGGTTACCGGTTCAGTAAAACGGTAAACCGATTACCGGGTTACCGTTTGTCAGCCCTAATCAGAAGTACCCCCAAAGTAAAGTACTTCATCCCACATAGGGTATAGATCTCATTAAGAGTTGTTAACTCAACCTCCATTGCTTTGGATTCATGCTTCACTATGCATGAACTTTTCGCATACTACTCATGACTTGTTATTACCCAGTGAACCCATTTCTTGGGATCTCCAGTCTATTGGGTCGGGTTACCATCACTTGTAGTCCGTGGTTCGGTAGGAATAAGTCCCATACCCTTGGCGGTATTCTGGACTTTCTCACTAGGTAATCCTTTCATCAAAGGATCAACTAGATTCTGTTCGGATCTTATATGATCCACCCTCACTGCTCCTATCGTTAGGAGTTCTCTTACAATATTGTGCTTACGACGAATTTGTCGTCTCTTTTCGTTCTAGAACCGGTTCCCTTCTTTTGCAATAAATGCGGTGCTATCACAATGAATAAGCTACCGGAGGGATCGGTCTTTCCCATAAGGAAATCTCTAGTAATGACCCTCTCAATCAACTTTCCTCTTTACTAGCCATTGCTAGTTCATCATTTCTGATTCTTTAGTTGATTGAGTCAGGATCGTTTACTTTTTAGACTTTCAAGACACAACTCTTCCAGCGATGTTTAAAAAATGCCCACTGGATGTCTTGGACTCCTCTATAGGGTATTCTAGCCCGCATCAATGTACCCTAACAATATAGCAAGGACCGTTGATAACTTGTATCAAGGTCTATTGTTCTGTTAAGGCATCTCATGACCCCTTTCAATAGCATTTCAATGCTTCATACTAGGACAATCAGTAAACCTGCCAAGTACCCCCACTATGTCGGGCCTCATGTTTATCAGCTGCCTCTCGCAGACTGTCGATGCTAGTATGTTCTTACTTTCTTACACCGTCTTTGGTGCTTTTTAAAAAAATTTACTAGCATCTTCAAACATTTAGGCAAGTGTACAACTTGTATTTCTTATAGATCTTAACCAAGTAGTTACATTGATCTATGAAAAATCTCTTTCACAGTCCTAGTCATTTGGATCTCTAAGTGAAACACTTGGATCCTTCTCATCAAGGTTCTCACTCAACATGGTTTTTCATATTTATTCGTGTCATGAGTCTTTGAATCAAAGATCAACATGCCTTTTATAGTGCAAGTGTCGCTTGTAACAAATGCAATTGTCACTTTCATTCAAAACCATGAGAGAGAACCATCCATGCATGCCATGATCTTTAAAGTCTATTTCAAATCCTACCATGATTTGTCTCACCATGGACTTTAAAAACATGTTCAGGAATAACAAGTTTACGTTGTCCCATGTAGATTTCTTTATCTAAACCACCATTCACGAAACAGTTTTAACAATTCATGTGACGCGCAATACAAGCAATCATACATGGATGTTATTCTAGATGTGGTGAATAGATATCAAAGAAATCCTCAATTTTTCCTTCTTCGCCTAAAGGTTTAGCTAGTAGGCGATACTTATACTCATAAACGAAACCATCAGGTTTTAGTTTTTCATTAAGAATTCATTTGTTACCCATGGCTTCATTGCCAGGAGGTAACTCTTAAAGATGCCAAATCTTGTTCGATTCCATCGATATATTTTCCACGACTTACGACCGAGAGGTAACTCTACAAGATTCTAAGTCTTATTAGACTCCAATAATTCTATTTCGTTAATAATGGATTCTCCTACAAATCTGCATCTTTATGGAAGTTCAAACTTCTAGCAGACTTGTAGGGGTGTAAATAACAAATTCATAACCAAACTCCTTTACTGATTTATAGTTCATTTGTCTCTTCTGAGCTCATACTCAGATTCATCACCCCCGCTAGATACATTATTTCTAATAGTAGGCAGGACACTACCCTCACTATTTCTTGATTTAAAATGGAAGTTTATTGGCATCAATGAATTTCACAACAACATGAGTATTTCATTTCGTAGGAACTGTGTGTTTTTATTGTTGACAACATAAAACACACTCATATGCTCTTCTAGTTATCACTACACTGGTTTGTTAACTCTACCACAAGCATGCGATATATTGAATAATAAGTGCAATTAGTAGCAATGCGATTAAGTATTTCTCAAGTTATTTCAAATTAGCATCTCCAATAACTAGACAATGCACTCTATAGAGCAATAAATAATTTATTGTCTTTTCCATCAAGTTTACCCATATCAACATAAATCAGATCTATTGATTCTGATTCTCAAACCACATATTTTATGGGTCATTTTGCTTGAATACAAAATTTATATTTATCTCAAACGTTCTAGAATAATATGGGAATGTGACTTTAGATATTCTAATTCTTTACAAGGACACACATATCCAAAAAAATTCATCTAATTTAATTTAATTTAATCATCCCTTACGTCTAGCGTAGTCAACGACTTTTTAGAAGTAGGGTTCTTCTTCCACTTTCCAGAACCATGAACAAATAATAGTGGTGAGGGTCGTCCCCAACAACACTTCCTTCTCCCACACGTCTCAATGCATGAGCCATCTTAGATCGTCTATCACAGACATGCCTTGGAGCACTAGTATCCAACAACCATTCTTCAGAGTTACCATTAAGGCTAACCTCTATCATCACCTTAGCGATTATTATTGCCAAATCCACTTCTTTAATCAAGTTAACACAATACTATGTTAAACTTGCTCTAACACTTTCGTGTCATATGACCTAGTTTTTCTCAAATTTAATTGAGAAACATAGCGTTATTCTTAGAGAATTGTGTGACAATCTTATGGTTACCACGATGGTTATCATTCTAATTGGTGTGGATCTGGTTCAACTTGCTACTCTCATTCTTGAAACTTTAATGTTCCAGAGCAACATTAGATTTAGTAGACCAACATTAGATTTAGTAGTTCATGTAGTAGTGACATCAATACTTCTTTGGGTTAATACCTTAGTTTGGCCCGAACAATAGACAAACTTTCTCCTTTGGTCCATGGTATCGGAAATTGTCATTCTGGCCTGAATTATGTAGCATACTTCCTTATTTGACCCGGAGGGGGATTTGACCGTCAAATTAGACGGTCAACCGAGTTGACCGTTAGTCAATGTCCAGCTCACTTGCCATGTCAACTAGCAGAGAGTAAAAAATTATTTTTTTGAATTTCTGTATTTAGTTTACTTTCTAATAATAAAAATAATAAACGAAAAAAATTCAATTAATTCAAAAAGTAAAAAAAATTCAACTATTGGGGAAAAAATACAGTAATTCAGGAAAAAAATTTGAATTTTTTTTCCATTATTATTTTTATTATTATAAAGTAAAAAAAATTGAGAAATTCAAAAACAAATTATTCCCTAATAGTTTATGTGGCAAGTGAGTTGGACCTTGACTAACGGTCAACTCGGTTGCCCGTCTAATTTTATGGTCAAACCCGCCTC